CTATATACATGCATTATATACATATATACATATGATACATATACACATACACACATACACATACACATAGTAATCTACAGCAACAGCACGCTTCGATATTCGATACAATACCTTTGCTCGCTTCCTGAGTTTGCGTGCCTGCTGTAAGACGGGCAGTGTAGGGCAGATGGCCTCCCAATCCGTCAGCTGTGTATCGTATTCTATGGACAGCACCCGCGCTGTAGAAAAGGCCTCAGGTAGCCAGTCCCTGTACCATATAAGGAACGCGCGTTGTATGAGAGCAAGAACATGATTCGGAATCGTAGGTGATTGTGATATGACGGTGAATTTCTGGGTATGTCCGCGTAGGCTGCGTGCAAGCAAGCGTTAAAGATACCAAAGTGCGATTAAACAATTCGGATATGTGGGTGAGCGTAATAGAAATTTGTATCTCTGGGTGTATCCGCGTAGTGTGTGTGTAATCAAGAAGTTCAAAATAAAAGACAGGAAATCCTGCAACGTACCTGTATGTGAGGAGAAGTATGTATATACGTGTATGTGGATCGTAAATGAACGCGTTTGTCGCGAGTCGACCGCTAGACAGCCCAGCTGAGCACATCACCAAAGAGAAAGGCGGCAAGCACAGATTGCTGTCATTTGAAGACAGCGTAGTACACAATAGGCTGAAAGAATCACAATTGGAGACACGCAAATATAATCGGTGCAAACCCTTAAATCTCACACAGGCATTGACAGTGTACAATTTAGGGCTGTGATATTTTCAGTGCCAAGCCTGCAGTTATCGATGACGTTCACCAACGCAACAGTCAGGAAATGACAGGCGACTATGAAACAACTAGCAGCGGCATTGCACCAACCACAACCATCGGATCAATAATACTGAAACATCCCACATATAAGAATTTAAATCAGGTGACCTAATATCACCAGGGACGCTGAACTACCCTACCCTGATGTTTCCACAAAATATAACTCAATTATCCCACAATAACAGCAGCCCTGTCCTATACTACCTTGGCCAGGGCAGTTTTTTTAGAACAAACCCCAGCTAACTATCCCACAACAACAGTAGCCTTGTCCTATCCTACCTTGGCCAAGAAAGTGTCTCCCCTGGGGCATGGTCCAAATCGCCGTGGAAGATGCTGGACGGCTGTTGTCTCCAGGTGAAGAACGCACCCCCCAACAACCCGTGCAAAAACACAATATCGAATTCATTGGATGGCATGGGCTCTATATCTTCATCCTCGGTATCTGTGTTGAGTGACTGCGCATCCATCAGGGAGTTGAGCCCGGGTATGCCTGAGTGGTATAGGATTGGTGCATACTTTGGTACTAGTACTAAGCACAGCCGCGCGTACGCGCGCAGTGAGATGTGATAGCTGGGAAGACACGTTCAGGTAAAGTAGGAGAGATTGGTCAGATAGGTGGCATTTAATAGAATTTATACTGTCATGGGGTGCGTAGACGGGGTGTGGTGTATGCTGTGAGTGCGAGAAAGGTTTGTGCGTGTAGGCATGCACACATCAATCAGCGACTCACACTCACAATAGGTGTCTCAATAAGGCTTACTCAGCACCAGTACTATATTGGCATGTGCTAGGCAAGTCCCTGAGAAGTGCGAAAATAAGTACAACCACGTTACACTCGAATATGCCCACGCCACACACAACACCTATACAGAAAATGGTAGAACATAGCAGTAATATGGACCTCACCTGTGCAGAGATGGATACGACGGATGCAAAAGCGACTATGTAGGCAAAACAACCCATCCTGAATGCTTGCAACCACGAGCCACATACCGTATGCATCGAACATTTGTGCACACACGCTTCAACATCCATTCCGATTCTGACGAGAACACGTAAACGAGAACACGTAAACGAGAACACGTAAACGAGAACACGTAAACGGAAACACGTAAACGAGAACACGTAAACGAGAACACGTAAACGAAAACACGTAAACGAGAACACGTAAACGAGAACACGTAAACGAGAACACGTAAGGACAAGCCACAGGACCAATACAAGTCCCAAAACCAGGTGCAGCACATAAGGAAACGCCCGTATGCCGTGTGTTCCTAGCACCGAAGCACTACACGCCAAATCAACACGTACACCAAATAAGTTGATAACATCATAACATCAAATAATCCCACTACGAGGACTTACCCCTGGCTGGTTCCCGCTTGTTGACGCGTGAGTGTGTAAATACAGGTGCGTGTGTGTGTGCGCCGTCGTGCGTCTGTATTACGTACACACCATCGTCGTACTTCCAGTCGTTGCGAGAGTACCGCTTCTCGACCGGGGCACTGGCGGATGTGGCCATCATCTGTGATGGGATATAATCGATATATATAAGTATATATATTTATATATATATATATATATATGTGTGTGTGTGTGTGTGTGTGTGTGTGTGTGTGTGTGTGTGTGTGTGTGTGTGTGTGTGTGTGTATATATATATATATATATATATGTATATATATATATATACATATATGTATGTATGTATATACAGATACCCACTTGAGCGTATCGTCTGTTGCAGTGGTGTGTATGTCGTGGGCGTGTGCGTGTGTGGGCAGTGGTGTTCACAGTGACAGTACATAGATTCGATCGCTGTGGATATATAATGCAAACGCATACGAGCAAACGATACATACATAAATACATACATACATACGTAGACAATGCAAAACATATACCTATTATAGAAGAGATGTCGCACGGTGGACCCATGCTCGCGCGCATACAATGACAATACACATTATACACCTGAGAACTTCACACAATACCACTTCACGCCCATGTTTTCATGCATACAACGACTACACAGAGTATATCCGAAACGGCCTAACAATACCCCCCAACACTCAGGCTCTTTGCTTCCGGGACACCGCAGAATACCTACCGAAAACAGACCATATCCGTTTGCCTTGCTCTCTTGGAGCCTATCGTAAGCTGCTCCCAACATTGGGAAGCGCTCCGACGCCTGCACAGCAGTTTCAGTGGCCGTTTTCATAAGCTTGTCTTTCACCACGGCCAGTTTCTCAGCCCCAGACGCGAGTGTTTCCGCACCTTCAATACCAAAGTAGTATGGTAGAAGTCCTGGGTTACCAGTAGTTGGTTGGCGCGTGTGGAGGAAATGCCTTTCGGCCCCGTGGTGTATGTTGGAGAGGGCTCGGTAGGCCTCGCCCTCCAAGTCCAAGATACCACAACGCGACCAGTCAACCTACACATGACCACGATATAAAGCGCGTGTTCAGAGCTGTATGAATGGTGATCAATGTATGCATTTGCAGATGTATACACAAATGTATATGCTTGTGGATGGGTGTAGCCATAGCAGTTCACATCAACTCACAGTAGTTCGTATTAATTTACATTAACTCACATCGATTCACAATTCGCATTTATTCGCATTTATTCACATAAATTCACAACCATTCACAACCGTTCACATTTATTCACATTTGTTCAACATTCAGACTGGATTGATACATACACTAATTCAGAATCAAAGTATACACACTATAGCCTAACACCAAGAACATACATAGAAATCCCAAGAAACGCACACTGCTTCTCGGAGCTCTTTGTATTCGTAGTATTCGCAAATAACATGGGGCGACCTATGCGGATATTCTGCTGCAAGTTGCTATGAGCGCAGTGCAGAGGACGGAACATGGCCAGGGCAAACAGACATACACATGCTGTTTTAGATTTTAGGGTTTAGGGTTTAGGGTTTTCAATTTTGCTCAAGCATACATCTCGGGCCTTGGGGATTCGGATACAACATAGGCAAGTTCAACAGCAACTGATGCAAAGGCTGCTTGTGAGGTTTGGCCATCCCAATGAAACACAGACGTTGCCACACTCAACCGCTGTTGACATGTTCGCCAAACCACCTACCATGTACCACAGCCACCCTTGGTCTATCACAAACTGCACGAGCGTTTCCTCTTGGCACACATTCGCAATGATCCGTGTAAGGGCGAGCCTGTCCTTGTGCGTGATCTATAAAGGCAGATGGCGATGCTATAAGTACTTGATAGAGTGCTAGTTGAGTGCACGTACCACTCAGGAGAGGGATGCGCTGAAATGATTACTATGTAAGAGTTCGGTTTCTCCCGGCACACTCGCAATGACGCGTGCAAGAGTGAGACTATCCTTCTGTATGATCTATGTAGGATGAGGGGGATGTTTATGAGTTATCGATAGGGTGTCAATGACGTGCACGCGCAATTGCAGTAGAGATACGTGATGCAACGACTGCTGTGTTTGGGGTTGGTTTCTCTTGCCATACACAAACAACGAATGGTGCAGCGTACTAATACAATGGAGGTGACCTATACAGAAAGAGAGGAATGTACATGATCGTATAACAAGATGTACAGCATGCGCTCAATTCCACAGATATGAACAGTTGATAGGAAGTTCGCGATATAGGGCGTGTTTTTCCCCGAAAGACATACAAATCAAGGATTGAGTAAGCAAATAACACAACTTACATCCGAATGGTTGAGCTTGACCACATCCATCAGTATCTGCAGCCCCCCCTCGGCCACGACTGTGTACCTGGAGAAGTGCACACACACACGTATAAGACAACTTACAACACCTGCCCAGATGTCTGGGCTGTACTCGGGTGCTTTCAAGGTGAGTTTAGGATGTGATGCTGAACGAGTGTGGCCATAGTACAACACGGCATGTGATACTGTGTAGGTCCAGCCGCAGGCACGGGAAGAGTGTTGAATAGTCTATATACATACAAGTTGTGGCAGTCAGAGGCATTTCAATCAAGTTTGTGCGCGTGCGAACGCTAGTCTTTTAGAATTTAGGGTTTTAAAGGTTTCAATCTGATGTGACGGCTAGGACTGTACCAAAACATACCAGAGGACATACAGCACACCACGGATGTATGTATACCAGCATGTGCATCAACACTACCTGCGAATACGTACAAAGGACTCTCACGCTAGCCCGTTGATATCTACTGTTGATTTCAATCGTTGTGTGTAATAAACAGCTCGACATCATGTCCTATCACATACCACGGATATAAAATAAAATCAATAAAACATACGCACACAATGCGTTGTAGGAGATAGAGCCAAAAGACCGGGCTTATAGTCGAGAGGTGAGCAACAGCCTGTCGATACAAGCATACATACAAGCACACAAACACCTCACATGCAAATGTATACATACATATACACATACACACATACACACAAACACACATACACACACACATATATATATATATATATGTATATATATATATGTGTGTGTGTGTGTGTGTGTGTGTGTGTGTGTGTGTGTGTGTGTGTGTGTGTGTGTGTGTGTGTGTGTGTGTGTGTGTGTGTGTGTGTGTGTATATATATATATATATATATATATATATATATATATATATATATATATATATATATATAAGAATACCGGTTCTCAGGCACAGTGGAGAGGTGCGCAACGGCTTGTATGCACTTCCCCTGTAGCATGGGCTCGGGCTTGTCTTTGCCCGCACTCGATACTAGCCCTATGAAATCATCTGGGTGTAAATGAAGACGGCAATGATAGTGACAATGTATTAACAGGCCTGAGAAACCACTTGTGTATATAGG